TATTTTAACATAAAATCAAATAATTCCAAAGTTTTTCAACTGAAAATATACAAACTATTGCTAATAAAACATTTGTTTCATATATTAATGAGTAAATGAAATGAAAAACTGATTGCAAATATTAAGTATCCAAGTATTGCGCTAATTAGTTTAGTTGTGATAAATAAATAAGATGGCTTTTCCTTTGCGATTTAATTGTGCGCAACATTTAACATAATTACATCTTTTAGAATGGTAAGTTTTAGTTTGAACTATTTAAAATAAATTTCATGATTTTTTCTCATGCCGCCATAAAGTATAAATAATATACCCTCAATTTTTGTAAGTTTTCATTTACATTCTTCTAAAGAATAGGCACATTCATGTGATAATAGTAATAAATAATAATAACCATAATAATGTGAAATATGAATCAACCTACAATTGAATGCTATCAAAACTTTGCATTTTAATCCTCTCTTATTTTAATCGTTTACTTAATTCTGTAGAATGTAAATAATATCTCACTTCGATAAAAGTAAGCCTAAGTGCTTTTAATTTTGTCAACATCCGGCAAACAGATTCAGTTCATTTTATGAGAATAACGCAAACAAACAGCGCTTTTTCCCTTTTTCTTTGAATTTCAACAACAGAACAGAACGCAGCATTTGAAAGAATTTGTAAGGTATCAGTAAATAAAATAAATAAAAAGATCACAATAAAAGAATGCATCGGAAAACAAATTTTCTTCAAATTGGTGATATTCAAAATAATAATACAATAATATATGAGTATGTACAAATCAAAGATCGATAATAGCAAAAAAAGTATCAAATTATTAATGCGTAGACAAAGTAATTTTAATTTTTAACTTGTGACGATGGAGAAAAGAAAAGAAGAAAGGAAGCTTTTAGCATCAAAGTTTGATGAAAATGAAATTGTTAAGGAAAGCAATAAAGGTCAAATGATACCATTATATTAGAGCGGATGAAAAAGGAATGACATGAGAAAATGTTGACGGATAAATGATTAAACAAAAACAAGCTTTGCAAAATATCAAAAGGAAATGTATCGAACATTGATGAATTAAATAAAGCTGTACAGAGTGAAAGGAAGGAAGATATTCCAAATAAGTTCTGCTTCAAATAACACAAAACTTGACTTTATCACTTGTTGTCAATTAAAAAGGTGTAAAAAAGTGGATATGATGGAAAGGAGCGAAATAGAAGAGGACTGAAAGAGGAAGTCATCGTCAAATGACATTCAGATAAGCAACTTCCGGATTTAATTAACCGGTAGTTCCGATATGAAATTAACAAATGATATTTTGGTTGATTCATTTGCAATAATCATTTTCGAAATGAACATATAATTTCATTCTTTAAAAGTCCAGAACCAGTCCATTTTAGACAAATTTTATAACCGCTATTACTGCCATTTTAAATAATTATTTCCATTATCATGCATCCATTCTTATCATTTCATTCTTTGCTTAGATTGCTTATAAACGACTTATTAAACAAGCACTTTATATCTTGTTAATAATCTTTTTCAAGCATAAAAGTGTTTATTTGAGGATAAATTAACCTTTAATACAATTAACAATTAGTAAAAAGGATTTTCATGGAAGGCTAATTGAATGAAATTTGTAATAATATATTTTAATGATAATACAACAACGACATTAAAGTAATATTTGAATAGTTTTAATGTTAGTACTCCCAACATTACTAATTGTAAAGCGTTGTATGTCAAATTTATTTATCTTAAATAATTCACTAAGTTCAATTTTGTTAATAGTCATAATAATGTCATATACGAGATTTCTAAATATTTTGCTCAATATATTTTCAAATTTCTATTTAAATTATAGAAACGAAATTTATCGAAATTTGACCAAAATGAAAAAAATTTATAATTTTTTATAAAAAAAGCACATATATTATAACGAATTCCATTCCGTTTCATTCTTTTGTCAATTGTCCTTTGTGTGAAATAAATTGGAATTATAAAGTTATATAATTTTCTTAAGCTTATTTTTTGAAAATGTAAAGTGTAATCAACGGGTTATAATCCACATTTAATAGTACCAATAATTGCACGTATGAAAGTTCACGAGATAAGACAACACAAACATAAAAATAAGGAGACCAAAAATAACACATCAACGATGAAAAAGTGTGCAAAAACTTTTGTGTGGACGATAATCTCACGAAGGAAACTAATCCATATAATCATCAAAGAATTACAGATAAGCATTGGCTTAAGTAACATTCGTTATCAAAAGACAATCAAATAATACTGATCGTTCAAAAACGTAAGTGATCAAAAATTTGGTCGTTCAAAGCAAAATTAAACGATAAAAACACGAATTAATAAAAAAATCGTTCCGAAACACAAAATTGTCGAAAATTGGAAACTTTGACTGAATGATATAAATTTTTTTATTATTTTAAACTTTCAATAAAATTTTTCAAAATAAAGAAATGCAAAAAATTCTGATCAGAATTCTTGTCTAATATTTCGGAAAAATTTTCAAAATCAAGACATTTAAACTAATTTTAGTATACCGTTGGAAGAGCTTTTAGTATGCAAATACTAGCAAAATAAGTGTTGTTTAGAATATTAATTAAACAAAATTAAATTTAAACAGAATCCGTTTAATTTGCAGAGGAAAACTAAATCATTTACACATGTATTTTCACATCTTTTATATAAAGTTTTTTTCACTTGAAATTAGCTTTCTTTTTCAATTTGAAAGTTATTGCCGGAAAAATTCGATCATTAAACATCATAGCTTTTCTATACTACGATAACCTTCAGTGTCCTCTGAAACCCAACATCAACTGCAAAATTAACCCATTTTGATTCATTAATCAATTAAATTGAGTGCAAATTAAAATTTTAAACTAGAAATAATTGTCAATATTTCCTAATTAATTTGCTTAAGATTTTCGGCATACTATTTTTTTGCTTCTGTCACTACCATAATTATTGTTATAAATGATCAAATAAAATACAAAGCATATACAATCTTTGAAAAGTACATATAAAATAAATTCCAATTTAAACTTAGATTAAAATAAGAAATTTGTTTCTCAAAAAATAGTATACATATTAAAAAAATGAAAATTTGATCTAATTTAATGTGTTTTATATAAATTTGTGGAAGGATGTATGAAAATTCCAAGGTTAACCATTAAATTTACATCACGGAGTAATGAATGTTTGTACACATCGAGCTGACTGTCAGAAACAATTCAAATAAATGCTTTTTTCTCTTAAATAAATGACAAAAAATTCAAATTAAATAAATACTTGTCAATATTTGAATAATAATTCAGTCGAAAAATAGGAAAATGATTAATTAACGGAAACATAATAATATACATGTATAAATAGTCTTCAATAGAAAAAACAATTGTTGCATTTATGTGATAAAAAAGGATTGGAAAAAGTTTTTTAATTCGTTGAAAGCTAAAAATTTTCAAAATTACAATATGTATCGTTCATTAACGGCAAGTATTATTTATTGCTTGCAAAGTATTGTAAGAACGATATTGTAATAATTAATAATTATGATTGAAATAAAAATTTCAAACATTTAGTTTAGTTCAAATTAACAAAAATGTAATTTTTAAAATTATCGCTATTAGAATATTCATTTAATTTTTCCATTTAATCGAAAAAAATTTTCAGTCTATTTTAATTACAACAGACTTTTTCTAATATAGGTTTATATCTTCTTATTCTTCTTCATTCTCCCACTCTTCGGTGTGTACCTTTCTCAGGTAAAACTTAAATTTAATACCGACTGGTACGTAAGTTTCAACACTGTTCTCTCTAAGCTTTCGATCTTTAATCTTGCATATTTCACATTGCGTTGTAATTAAATTAAACATTTATTACAAACCATTCAATTGAAAAAATGCTCTAATTTTATAATGAAAAATCTCTCAATTTCTTTCGCATTCTTTCATTTAAACCGACGATATCGTGTCACTTAGCAAAATTTAGCCAAATTTTTCCGAAAACAGAAAAAATATATAATTATTTTCTTGCAATTATTTAATAGCTTTAATTATATTTGGCTATAAGTTTAAGGCTTTCAGGTCATGAATTATTTTGCGAAATTGTTTGTGGAATGTGAGAAAGAGTCAAGTGCAATTGTGTGAGCTTTTAGGAATTTAAAAGTATTTGAAATTATTAACTTTGCAAAATTTTGACAATTTAGAATTAAGCGTTTGTCATGTTTGATGCAATTATATGATATTTGTGAAAAAAATTTAATCAAAAATTTGTGAAATTTCAGAGTGCATATGATTTTTTAATACTATTGGTTTAAACAGAAAGAAAGCATAAATAGTACAACAATTATTGCTTTCAAATAGATTTAAACCAATTCTTTGAAATAAAAAACTTCAATTTTCTTGAATGAAAAACTGTAGTTAGATAACGAAGAAAATAAAACAAATGCTCAATAAATAATTACTCGAAAACTTGCAGAATTTATTATTCTTTAAAAATGTTTTTCTATTTTATATGATAGTTTTAATATAAGGAAAGATAAAATATGTTCAGTGGTTTGCAATTTTAATCAAATGTGAGATTTCATTACTTTTAATCAGTTTATTCATCTCAACGATTGATATCAAAAAATATTTCATGCTATGTTTAATAATGAAAGTGTAAATAAAAGGCATAATTATTTCTTGTTTTTCTCGGAAAAACGACAAATATTATGAAAATAATGCTCGACCAAGAAATGTAAGTAAATATCTTAAATAGCTCTCAGAATTTTTAAGAATGACATCTCCGAAGCGCTAATTAGCAAAGGCCGCACGACTTACGACAATTTTCACTCATCCAGGTGTTATGAGTGCATAATTGTTTCAATGCCCAAAAACCACAATAGACGTTTACATCAACGCATCCTAAAATATTTTATTAATTATTGATTGGAATTATGAATATCTTGGGAATGAATATAATTAGGTGCCATTACTGCTGCTTAATTGTTTTCATATTCTTTTCAGATATGATTTTTGAAACTTGCCTTTACTACAATACATAGCTGTTAGTAATTCAACATCTTTATCGCTTAAAGCTTTTCGTTGACCCATAACCTGAAATCATTTTATAGAATGATTTTACAGCACTAAAATTATTAGCTTGAAAAACTTATATTCGCTCAATCCTTAATAAAATATCAATTTGCTTACTTTAAGAAATCGTTCACTCTGATATTTCGGTACAATAGCTGGTTTCTTTGAATTAACTGCTCCAACATACGGTCCATAATGCATGATACTGTAGTAGTCGTAGCTCACACCATAACTGTAACTTTTTCTTACAATATTTTTACAATTCATTGTTAATTCTAAAATGTTCAACCAAACTTTTTCATTTTTTTCCTCATTCTTTAGTATTAATAAACAATGAAGCAGTCCAACCTTGTAAATTTCTTCAAATCTGATACAGCAAAATAATCGTACAATTTTGGATTGATATTTTCCCATTTAATAATAATATAATCGTCGCGATCCGAACGTAATTGCTGATGGCTTACACCCAATGCATGTAACGTTTCATGGATTATTATACCAAAATTCTAAAAGCTTATTATTAACTTTGATAATTATATATGAATTTGAACACGATAATGAATTTTATTAAAGCAAAGGCAGTTTTATATCAAAGTTAACTAGCATTTCATTTGAAGTACAAAAGATTAATTAATTAACAATAACCATTTATCTAAACCATACATTAATCATACTTGGGCTCTTCGGCGATAATTTATCCTATCCTAATTAGTTAGACTAAGCATTATCACACAAATCAATCTATACTTTGAAACAATAATTACACAGCAATTATATGAGTTTTTACATAAGGCTAATTTTTTTAGAAATAAAGGTAAGCCAATGAATTAATTATGTCGCTTAGGATTGATTATCATAGAATGCAATATTTAACCAAATTTATATATTAGTAAAATTAACAATGTTCAAGAAAAAATTTTCCAGACGAAATGAAAAAATTTCATTTGGAAAATTTTTAAAATATATTAAAAAATATGCGTAGAAAAGTTAAATACAATTTTTTTTTTGAATTATGCATTTAAAATATGCGTAATTTCCTTGTTATGTAATAATTTACTTCTTCGCAAGCGAAACTCAAATAAATCGGATTGATCTCTTCTACTCGACCAATATAGCTCAAACCACAACTGAAAAATTCTTCCATTAATGCTAAATGTATCACAACTGTCATTTTGTTTAATAAGAATTGAACAGTTAAGATCAAGCTCTACATTTGTCTTATAAAAACCGCGTAAAATCCTTTGTTAAATTACGAGAGATAAAGTAGAGTTGAAATTGCCAGTTATAAACAAGCTTTTGGTAATTCAATCAAATGACTTTATCGATAATTTAAAAAGAAAAACATTACTTACACATTTGATTGAGGAATTTTTACATAAAATAAATGTGATTCATTTGGTGGGGTCTCAACGAGTTCAAATTTTATGCATGTTTGTGATCCAATTTCATCCAATGCTTTCATTACTAACTCTCTCTCATTTATTTCTGCAATATTTCCTCATTAAAATACATTTTTAAGATAAGAAAATTAATATTAAGTGATAAAATCGATAATTGTATTAGAAATTAAACTATATTGTTGTTTTTTCGTGGTATATTTTCAATTATTTTCAATGTAACCACTTATTAAATTTTATGTTTTGTTTCTATTATGAAAATGCATTGAGTCGAAATTTAGGTAATTTTGATTGATTGATTTATTTACTAACCAAGAGATGAATCTAAAACATATTTAATCGGTTTAGTAACATTCCACTTCTCGTTTGGTAAATCATCCAAAAACAATGATTGTCGTTTTCTTCGTATTTCAGGATTATTAATTGAATTAATTAAATTATTTGATTGCTGTATAGTTAATAGTATATCATCTTGAAAAGTTCCATCATCTGCTGGTACTACCTGAAATACTACTTATCTTTATTGCTAAGTAATGCAAATTTTACCAAAAATAAATACTGCTTGTATAATCGAAACTTCAACTATTAATTGAGTGATATGAGAATTGCACAGATGATATATTAGCATGATAACATCGTTCATGTAATATTATTCTAATAGACAAAGTCCTTTTCCCTAATTTTAATAAAGGAAAATATTTTTAGCATTAGTTAGCGATAAATATAAGCAACAAAATTTGTTATGTCATAGTAAACAAACGGAGTCGGCGATTCCAGCAAACTGTAGCAAAGAATTCTTCACTTGTTGTGTTCGCATGAGTCTCAGTTCGACTCGATCTTCCAAGTTATCGTCACTTGTCATAGGAACTCTTAAATAGTCTGTCAAAGTAAACTTCTTGAGATAAAAGAATTTTGAAAGAATTATACAGAATGCTACGTGATTTTATGCATTCCAATATTCCATGAGTTTGACTAATCATCGTTGGATGATTCTTTCATTTTATTCATTCATCCGTTAAATGAATTTGTCGGGAAAGCAAATTTTTTAAATTAGGAAATGTTTGGTTAGAACAATGATTTCTGAAATATATTGGCCAAATTCTGGGCCAGAATTTGAAAGTTAAACAAATTTATTATTTTTAAAAAAGAGGGAAAACTTTTTTGCAAGGTCCATTTCAAGCGCAGCAATTTGTTTACGCTTTAATGTCCATTTCTCCTCTTGCTGCGAACATTTCACTTCATTTAAGCATGTCTTCTGAAAAATTCTTTTTCTATCAATCTTTTCACGTTTGATTTCACTCCATTCAATTATCTTTGCTTTAAAATAATTCACAACACATATTTTATCAAAAAAGTTAAATCCTTAAAGTTAGAGTTAAATAAGAAAGATAAACGCTGATAGAGAAGAAATGAGAGGTGTATATTGGGAATTAGAAACTGAAAAATATCATTTGAATGATTCGAAAAAATTGTTCTATGCCTGACTGCTATGATATTTCATTTAAAACAATAAACGTACTAAAAGAATTTCTCGATTTTCTTTTTTCAATTCTTGAAATGCAAACCGCGGAGTGTCCGTAGTTAAACTCTTCGGCACATTTTCCAATACAGTGATTTGGGGTATTTTTGGTACGGATGGAAAATGACTCGCATTCTATTAATCAAAATTTTTGAAATGATTTCAAGAGTTCATTTAGAAATTAAATAAAGACAATTGTTTGATCGTTCAAAAATTTTTTAAAGACTTTTTGGGAACTTCAGATCTTTTAGAAAATTCAATTTTTTTTTCTTAAACTTAATTTTTTTCGTTTTCTTGAAGACAAAATGTGAAAAATGTTGTTTGAAAATATAAAAATGTTATTAATGAAACATTTAAATTTTACCTGCATGGGAATACTGACCGTTTGAACTGATACCCATTCTTTTTTTCTAAATAAGTCAAAGTTTTGCGTTCATTTTGTCAACGAAAAGTTTGAAACCAACAATAATACTTATACAATAATTAATTATTGTTTCGAATTCAAAATTTCGGTAATAGTATTAAATTTAACCTGCACTTACTATGTGCCGGATATCTATAACAGAACATTTGTATTCGTTGAAATTCATGAGGTGGTATATGTTCAAATGGAATCGGGGCGAAATGGTCCATCAGGAAGGGAATATCATCAACATTCAAGAATGATAATGGTGGCAAAGAGGACTGAGGAGATAGAGGTGGTGGTAATGGCGGTAGTGGTGGTAACGGTGGTGGAAGCGGCTCACGCGGTACTGGTAGTGGTAGTGAATGAGGTAGCAACGGTAATGGAAATGCATTTGGTGGTGGTGGTGGTGGTGGTGGTGGTGGTGGTGGTGGTAGTAGTCGTAGTGATAGTCGTGGTGGTCGTGGTGGTTGTGGTACTGTCAAAAGCAACCGATCATCTGATTTGGGTTCATTATTTGCAGGCATTAAAAAGGATGAATGTGCGAGATATGGTTCCTGAGGGTGTATTATCATTTGTGGCTTGCAGGTTATTTGTTGAAAGATTTCTATGAAAATAATTAAGATTGGTAGCATATCGTATTTGTATCAATACCCCAAAATAATCTTAGCAAGAAAATTGAAGTAGAATAGCGGACACGAAATTAGTCAAAGTAAATATCAAATGATGAAGGTTAAATAAAAAGAAAAAAAATGAAAATGCTCACTTAATTTATTATCATGCTTTCATCAGCATTTCAAAAATACAGTAATGTGCTGATAATATTAACAGTAATTAATAAATAACAGAAATAATAGAGAAATTTTCAGCAACGATAATAATTTCTGAGTGAGTAAATTGAATAATATTAGTGAACACAGGTGAGAGTTCTTTAAATTTAGCGTTGGAAATAGAAGTTGGTGGTAATTTTGGTATGAAAAAAGAGAGGAACAGGTTCTCTCGATTGTCATTGAATGAGAAAGAATTCGGTGGATGGCTCGATTATTCTTGGCCTGAGACAAGACACCTAATTTGTGCATCATTCATCCCAATTCTCCACACAATGCGTGTATTGCATAGCAATCAATCTATTTGACCTTTATAAAATGTTTAAGTTTTCTTGCCAAGGGTGACTAATAGTCCATTTACTTGTATCACATTTACTTCATTTTTTCCGTTCAATATTTATTGTATTTTAGACTTAAAATGCTTTTTTAGACCAATTGCTCTTTTATGCATTACTAAGTCAGTTCATTTTAAATGACATAAATGAAATTTGAAGTATGAAATTTTACACTAACGTCATCAACAAAGGAAATGGCATCTTTTTTAACAGTAGTAATGAAATTAATAAATAGTAAGGAAATCAAATTAATTAAATTTAAAAAATTATTAAAATGCTGTTGCGTGATGCAGTGTTAACGAATTATGATAACATTTTTAAGCAGTTCCAACCTTTAAATGAATATAATGAATCTTTTTGCTAATATCAAATATTCTTAATGATAATTTACTTTTACGTCTAATTGATAGAATTCATTTATATTTGCAGTTGGTCAATACATAACAAATATTTGATATTCTAAAAAATATTTTACTTTCATATTTTTTGCTTGACTTTCTTAGTAAAAAAAATGTCCCTTATTTCCTTTCTTATTTGCTTCACTTTCTTAGGGATTTTAATATCAACTTTTTATTAAATTAAATATGCAGCAAAACTGTGAACTTTTTCTTCTATTGCCAAACTAACAGCAATTTCAAACCATTTGAAATTTATTTATTATCATCAAAATAATTAGAACAGATTTATCGATTTCCATTGCACCAAAATACTTTGAACAAATTTATTTCACTTTTTTGAGTGTCGTCAAAGTTATTTCACACATACAAAATTATGGTTTTAAGTTACGATGTGCAGAATGACAACCATTATAAAAATCAATGCTCTCTGATTGAATGTACCGAAGTTTTTTCATCTATTCAAATTGCATATATATATTTTTAATGTTTGATAAGCTTCCATTTCATTTTTAGCTTCTATAGATTTTGCTTAATTTTCCCTTCAAATTGGCTAAGTTTTTGGCATACTCTTTAGTTTCAAAATGTTTTCAGTTTGTTGTCCGACAGCCTTGATGGTTTTAAATTTGCTTCTAACTTTCAATAATTACGAATTTTCCTTTTTTTTATAAATCTAAATTTTATTTAAATCCAAGTCTTAGAACCCATTCATATTAGTCACTTGCACTTTAAAAATATCAACATCAACACAGTCCAGAAGTCCTTTCAACAACCTTTCATCGTCCTCAAGCACAGTCACACTCACATAACATCACCGTTGTAGTTCTGCAAATTAACTGTATACTGTACAACTACAGTACGCTGTACTATCATATATTTTACGTTTATTATTTAAAATATCCCAGAACAAATCCGATTGTATGCAAATAGTTCATTGGTTAAATTTGCAACTTCAAATCAATTATCATTTATATGTTAGAATTATTTATACTTTTAAAAATAACAAAGTAATTAACAGGATATCTTAATTTTTGCTGACTTCTATTTTTTATGGTTTTGAAATATTGCTTAAATTAAGTGAATTACAATTAGCTGTTTTCTGTAATCATTTACTAAACTTTCTGTCAAGCCTTTTTCTTGTAATATTGAAGTGATATCGGTAATGAAACCGGATATTGAAGAAGCATATCTTCTCTGAAATAACAAATCTAAGCAAATAATAAACTTGAATGTATAACTATCATAGAAGGAAGAAAACTTTTCTATGATTTCGATTAAACAATCCTTCCATTCATCTGTGATATGCATATTGTCCATCACTTTCCAATATTTTCAACTAATGTATGCTAAAAACCTTAGTTCATATAAATAAATTCAGTTTCCACTTGTATACTCGAGATTTATAAATATTCCACTGAGCATTAAATTAATTTTTAAACGTTGTAAAGAATAAAGTAACAGAACAGTTCGAGATGGCTGATGTTCGATTATTGATAAATTCAATCGAATCTGTCACTAATTGTTTTGAGCCTGTATTTATCACTGATTTTTGATGATTTTCATGAAGACATTTAAATTGTATTAATAAATGAATGAGTGTATTAAACAAATTGAATAATAAAAAATAATCTAATAGAATTCACTAAATGGTACAACAATACAGTAAGAATACTATACAATAATCCAATGATAAAAGAAGCAAACTATAAAATGTTTATAGCAAAAATGCCACCAACTTTCAACTTCCCATCCATTTCTTGTCACTGATAGTTTTAGCGTAAATTGCAATTACTAAGAAATGCAAAAAAAAAGTAAAAAAGAGTTCAAATAAATGTATGACATTTGTTTACAAAAGACGTTTGTTGGTATGAAAATGCTTTTAAAAAAGGAGAAAAACTGATTGATTTTTACGTCTCAATAAATTATGTAAAAATTGAAAAATAAGGTTTGAAAAGAGTTAATTGAATGGTTTTCGGAATATCATGTAAATAAATGGTAATAGGCTGAAAACTTGTAGAATGTCCACAGCAAGGTAGGAAACAGTTTCCTTTATTCATAAAATCCCTTTTAGGCTTAAATTAGTGTGCAATATACTCAGCTCTCTCATAAATTACAGCTCAATCATTTTCGCGAAGAGAAAAAAATGCTATTAAATCAACGAAAATAAAAAAATAAAAATTATTAAATATCTTTTTGACCTATTCCTATCTGTTCACATTTCTTGAAGAAACGACATGTTCGACAAGCATATCGAGCATCTAAAAGAAGCATGCTAATAATTTCTTCTGTTACTCATTAATGAATTGTTGTAAAGTAATAACAAATCTTGCACATCAATAAAAATTTCCTTGCTGAAATTAATAATTCATAAATAATTAATCGATGGTAACTGATAAATACTTTATTTTGGAAAAAACTTCATGAAAAAAAAATGGTTTTCGTGAAACATACAATCGATGTGGGAGAAAAGGGATGAGAAAAGTGAAGATAAGTAAGCAAAAATATTTAATTTTTATAAAATATCAATAATAACCTTGATAAATCCGAAAATTTTAGTTAAATAATTTAGGAAAGAAAAAAAATAAGCGAGCAAAGAATGGAAAAATATTTAAAAGTTTTTCAGCATTAGTTGGCCTTTTTTCCTTTTTAAAAAGAATGAACTTTTATCAGTTCGGCATATACCTCCCCCAACAAAATTGTACGCCAAACAAAATAGCTCGTCAAAAGAATGCATTGTAGTCACGAATGATAAATGATATCACCACAAACGCAACACTTCTCTGAATATACCTGATAATAAATGAAAATATCGATTTTTCAAAGCATACAAAGATTAGGCGTTAACGCTCCAACGCAAATTAAATATCGCGTCAATGTTAGATTTCAAATTTGACGAAAAATCAATTCCCTTTTAATATATGAATGTTTTGCAGTTCATTTAGTGTAACAAAAATCTTAAAAGTCCTTCAAAGAGAACATTTTAAAGCAAAAAAACGAAAAAGAAAAAACTAAATTAGAAAAATTTTAAAAAGTAATCAGTAGTTTCAAATTATTGCTATACTCGACGAGAGTGAATAAATTGAAATATTTTAGCGTCCTGGTGCAATAAAGATGCAGTCGAATGTAAATGGACATAAGTGGACACTGACTAGTATGAAACGAAACTTTTTCTTTCGAATATTAAGTGATAATGATTTCTGGAATGCTGTGGATTACATATTTTCAATTTTTTTACGATCTTTCTTTAAAAAAAAATCGTGACAAAAAATTGAAATGTCACTGCCAGCAAGCTGATAAAAGTTTCTTTCCATTAGAATAATGTATGCTGAATAGAGAAAAAATAAAATATTTGCACTTGTAAATATTGGAACTTTTAAATTCTAGCAATGGTATTGACTATTTGTTAGGAAACTATTTCATAATATATTGGTGCCTACTGCAAAAAAGTTTATAAGAATGCTATATGTATGCAACCATCAATATAGGAATTCTAAATAAGTGCAAAATTGTTCCATTAAATTCGAAT